GAGCAGATGGCAAAAGGAGACACAGACTGGGAGTGCTGGGAACCATTCTGCGGTAATTAACTGGAATATTACACATTGCATAATTTCAAACAATTAATCTGTGTGGTACTTCTTGTGAAGAGGCTCACAAATGCTCTTAGTTTTTTATATCCTATACATTTCGACATGCTGAGATATTTCATTTTGACTTTCTCACATTTCATATGTTGCATTGGTACATTTTGTTAAAAGATAGTAAATCCTTCACATTTCTGCTCTTCAAGCTGATTTCAATTGTTCCTAGATTTAAGAGAAAAATGTGTGAGTGCAGTGAGCCAGCATTTTCATATTTGCATCTCATCATAGTCTTTGAGACCATGCAGATTCATTAATTTGCATCTTTTGCCACATCATTGTCCACAATACATATTCTGTGATGTATCCTTTCGCAGAGGGCTACACCAACAAGCAGCGAGCCAAGCCTGAGTCATAGTGGAACAATGATGCTGGAGCTGAAGAGACGCCATGTATCACAGCGTCTCAATGAGCTCCAACTCACATTAGGCCGGATCAGACAGCGTGGCAGCACGTCAAAAGATGGGACAGGAGGCCATAAAACAACAGACAGCAGCAGCAGCACTCAGCCGCGACGGAGGGAGCCATATCCTGGCGTGGATGGCTGCAGTCCCGCTGACGGCCAGCAGCAGGGCGGTAATCCAGTGAGCCGAAGTCACAGCCAGGAAAACATACAGGGCAGAGCTCTGGGTAACTGTAGAGAGGAGAGTCATATTTCCAACCAGCAGAGGAGTAACAACCCTGAAATGTTGCTGGGCTGCCAGATGCTTGAGAGCCAAGATCAGCTGCTTCTGACTGTGCCAGGAAAACAGGAGCTAAACGGTCAGATCACAATAGAAAATACAACTGGACACAGGCAGTGATGACATGTGGGCGCCTACCGATCAGAAAATAGACAAATGCTGAGAAGAATTAATATTGTTATGTATTATGTGAGAATTATTCCTCCTGCTTGTGCTCAAACAATCCAGTTATATCTGTACACTATAAAATTCTGTCTTTTTTTAAGTCTTTTTAATTATCTGTGATCCTGGACAGAAATAATTTCTGGCAACAAGCAGTGTGGCGTGACACAGTCTGTCATCTTGTCCAAATAGTTTCTCAGTCAGGAGTTAATTCCGGCCTCAAACACAGGCTCTGTTCATTACCATATTCTAATTAAGATAATAAACTCCAGCCGACTGAACACAAGGTGACACTTGTGCGTCTGTGCGCACAACAACCTCCCTTGTGTAGAGGCGACAACCCTTGGGTCTTCATGAATATTTAATATCAAACAACAATAATTCTCTAACCCTCTTTCTAAGGTCCTCTAACCTGTCGTTTGTTTCTTTTCCATGCGCTTTAGCTCCTTTCATTTATTTTCCTCTGTGACCAACAGGCTATGCAAGTCAAACTTTGATGGTTTATCTGTCGTACTGGGGTTCTGGGTCTTATAATAGAAAGTGAGTATTACTACAGGGGGACTGTGAGCCAAATCATAAGGTCAAATGGAACAAGTCTTCACTTGCAATCAGTGTTGGCTCAGAGGTCTGTGCCAAGTCCCCCAGGGTTGAGTGTCTTTGAGTGTGTGTGTGTGTGTGTGTGTGTGTGTGGTTCAGTATCTCCCTGTACTCCTTATCAATTAGATTAGCTAAAATGTGCCACTGATCTGGCCTGTGTGTGTGTGTGTGTCCGGGACATGACATTGTATAACATGTCAACATCAGCAGTAGAGTTGTTTGCGTGGTTGTTTACAGTGGTGCTGCATTATGCTCGCTCTACTTGTTTAGATCAACACATGGGTTATTTTTAGGAACAGGGTCTTTGTGTGATGTTTGTGGGGGTATATGTCTGTGTATATGCGCAGGCTTCTGTCTGTATCTGTGATCTCGGGGTTGATTTCAGTGCTGTTTTGTAGCATGTCAGCAGTTCCATCTTTCCACAACAAAATAGCAATAATAACACAAACACACCCTAACACTGAAATTAGTTTTTGTATGCGATATGTTTCCCCCCCTGTCTGTTTGTCAACAGGATAAATACTGAGTGGATTTCAATGAAACTTGGTGGAAGGATGGGAAATGGGACAAGAAAGGGGTGGAACCAAGATTTTTGTAAATAACTGTTCTTAACATTGCGAGATGCTGTGTGAGGTGGCATATTTAGGGGACTGATATGTGTGCAATTTGGTGCAGATCCAAATATAAATCTGTATCTTATAAGGAGACTGTTGGGCCTTGGGGGAGATATGTGCTCAATATACAGTAAGTGCCATTCTAGATTGTGTATGAGTTTCAATTTATTTTCTAATCGCAAAATCCAAAGTAATTTCACAGTGCATCAGATGTAATATAGCCGACCCGCAGATATACCAATAATGAACATCGATGTTAAATGTTGTAGAAATGAGAGCTGCTGCTTATACTCGCTTTATATTGGAGCATTTAAGAGGGGTTTATTCTGGCGAAGAAGGATTTACATCTCAATTTCCAACGTGCTCCATCCATGGCTGCTTGATGTAATCATGATATAATCTGAAAATCCTTTCAAATCCCTTTAAATCTGCTCTTTGCAGTGAGTCCTCGAAGGACTCTGCATGCACACACACACGTGCGCGCACACACAAATTTACATCCATTAACAAATATACGCTCTCTATTTCTTTTCTTTTTTTTGACCCTAGATGTGCTTGTTCCCTGATTCAAACTCTTATGTAAAACTGTAATTGACTCATAACCCTTACATAAAATTGCTCTCATGCTCTCCTGTTTTTCTTACTACTGTCTTTACATTTAGCCCCATATCTTCAACACATTTATCACTTGTGCACACTATGTTGTAAGAAAAAGTTACTTGAAACATGATTTATTCACCTTTTTTATTGAAATAGTTTTTTTTTTTGAAAGGGAGTAAAAACACACTGGATACCTGTGAAAATGGAGCGCTGTGCTCAAAGCTTCCTTCCTGAGTCTGTGGGCTGTGGCCTAAGCAAACCTCCTGTCATCACCATGGCATTGCATTACTGTTGCTATGGTTTCTTTATCTCCAGGATGTGGTTCAACCAGGCCTGCCATATTTAGCCTGCTCCTCAGAATGCCAGTCTGATGATGCTGACAGCAATATGAGAGTGCACTCAGCTGTCTTTCTGCTCATCTCTCTATATCAAATATATCTGCACCAGCGACTCTGAATCAACAAGTGTTTGCAGTGACGCTCAGTTTTTCGACAGTTAGCATTTACACAGAATATTTATCTGCAGACATTCTCATTTAATATCTACTGATAAATACAAAAACTAAATAGAAATGCATGGTTTATCATCTTTATTTGACGTGGACTCTTCTCATTGGGATAAATCCTCTTATGACTCCAGATACCATAGCTGTAGGATGCTGTGATGTCACAGTGAGATTAATTCGGTCGAGGAGACCATATCACAGATTTGCATTAATCAGTTATTTCTCTGTTCTTTCAGAGTTGGCATAACAACAGCAAATATCACAGCACATCCTGCTTTTTTGGCGGTTGTCTCAGAAACAGAGAAAAAGCATGACAAATGAAAAAGTATTTTCTGACGTGCAGAGAGAAACAGAAACACCATGTCTTGGTTAGTATGTGTAAATAATTATAGTCATACTGATTGAGATCATGACTGTATGTTCATAATGTTTTAAAAATTCATAGATTTGCTTTCTACAAATCAAACTGATTAAATTGTTTTACCTTATAATCAGTGATATGTGAAGTAGCACAACCTTTTTCATACAGAGGAGATCAGGCAACAGATATCCCACTTCCCAAGAAAGCACTTGTCAGTGCAAGCCTATTGATATACTGGATGTACTGCTGGTCTATCGGACCAGGAAAAGAAAGGGAATGAAAAAATGGCAAATTGAGGTTGTAAAACCATTTTATTGTGTCCTTATCCTCTAACAGCTTCCACTAGAGATTAGAGAAATGAAAGCTAAAACATTTATAAAATTCCACTTCTCTTTGGCACAGGTTGAGGATGAGGAATTATTTTTTTACCACCTGTATCAGTTTATTTATCGTTTATATCTTAAATGACCAAATAATAAGGAACAAAAAGAGAAAAGGGAGGCGGCAGTTGCTGGAGGGCAGTAATGTAGTATGCAAGTGTTTGAACCCAAATATAGAACATTGAAGAAAAGGTCTCTGCCTGAAGTCCGAACTCCAGAGGATGGAAGATCATTAGATTAGTGGCTCGTGTCCTGCACTCTGTTTTATCAGCTGCAGGAAGCCAGAGCTATAGATTCAACTCTGTATGTGCTCAGCATTAGATCGAGGCAGTGAATTGTTACCTTATGTTTTCATCTGTTTGTTTAGGATCACACAAACCCAATAGATTTCTATGAAATGTTGGAAGGGGTTGGCGGGGCATGATCCAAAGAAGATACCATGACATTTTGGGTGTGAATCTAGATAAGGGGGCAGGTCCAGGATTTATTAATTTTTTTCAATCTCTCCAAATTTGTAAGATAAGGACTTTTATAATATTTGTTTTTGTTGATTTCTCAGAAAATATTCATGGATCTTAATGGGAAAAAAATGACTGTGCTTTTCTGTCTGCACACATGTGGATATGCTTAATTACAGGGGTCAGTGTGCATCCTGCCTGCCTCTATTTCCTGCAGCCAGACTGAATCCCTGCCTCTGTCTCTGTTTTTTACTAAGAGGACACAGCAAAGACTTTAGAAGTAAAGAATTGCTGATGTTTAAAACATGACAGCTCTGCTAGCAGCTGCTAAAGAATGTTATGCAACACATCTGAAAGACTTCTAAATGCAATAACCTTAAAAAACCCTGGTTTGCATCAGGCTCCTGCTGATGCAGGCTCCTGCACATGAGGCTGTAACACGACGCTGTGTGTTGTTTGTTCAGCTCGTCAGCCTGCAGTGAACAAGCAAATGAAACGCACGATGATGCTGCTCGGGCCTAAACGACACTGATGTGGTCAGAGTGGAGTCAGAGGGAGTGACTCACGCATGCGCATCACAACCTGCGCTCCTGTGACTGCTGGGAAACAAAGGCAGGGATCCTCGGCCGGGAGAGAAGTCATCAGTCATCTTGAATCCAGGAAACAGACTCCAGACTGTCAGGGGTGTGATTCTATGAGCGGAGGAGTACCATCAGTGTTCCTGCTGCTCTGTGAGTGAACACGACTCCACATCTGCTTCTGTGAGTGACTGAATCGGCTCTCGAGAATCCACAGGTTCCTCTTCATCATCCTCTTCATCATCATCATCTCTCCCCTCGTGTGTGAGTGTGCGTGTGTCTGAATGACAGCACCTGTGGGCCAAGGAGCTGTTGCATCACACCTCACCACGGACTTGTTTATTTCACCGAGTGGAGGGAGCAATGGAGTTTAGTTGTTTCTAGGTGGGTGATGAAATACGAGCCGGTTGCTTGGCGGAGGATTTAAATTCCCCCGTTGCGTTAAAAGCCTTTTTTTTTTTACACGTTGTACTTTGACTTCCTGTTTTTTTGTTGTTTGGATTTTTCCACCCGCGCGCATCTGCCAAGGAGAGGCGCTGTCCGTGGTTCTGAAGTCACATCCTGAAAACTCCTGAACACAACTTCCACAGAAAGAACCAGAGAGGACCTGTGCACCAGCAGCCTAATATGGTAACTCGACCCAGAGTTCAGCTGCACACTTTGGTACTTTTGCTCTTAGTTGGTGAGTATGACTGTAAGAGAGATGTTGAAAAAAGTTTAAATAAAGATTTACCATGTTACAGCCAGGGGTGGATCCAGGGGCAGGGCCCAGGGGGCACTTGCCCCAGCTTAAATGTTATTGGCTCCCTCAGGAGCCCTTGTCTTGTCAGTAGTCTTTTTTTTCTTCTTTTTTTAAATACACTAGTTAAACAGCTTTCAGACATGAACTGAACTCTGGATGTGAAAATGCAAATTTCCAAGTGCGAGCCTCCATTCTCCAGGGTTTTTCCTGCCAGCAGCCAATTAAAACTCTGGATAATGTCCCAGTGAGTCAAGGTGAGAGCATGACCGGAGACTCTCTGGAATTCACTGTGAGCGAGATTCACCGCATGGGCATGTTAATGACGTTTCTAACATGTGACCGCTCACAGGAGGAAAAAGTGGACCCACACATGTAGCAGACACTAACAAAATTGTCAAGAGAACTTTTGGTCATAAGGGCCAACGCTGGTGTTGATGTGCAGTAAACAAAAACATGTCTCTGCTGCACCAACCTCAACGCTCTGGAGATTTCTATGTTGTTGTGAACACATCTGAGCGGCAAATCTCCTGTTGCATTGTTCAGGTGAAAGGTGTTTTCTGAAGTTTTTCAGAGAAAGTACAGACCAAATTGTTTCGACATTACTCCAGAGTTCATGCCTGAGAATGAATTAAGACTATTAACAATTTGTTAAGAATGTATATTTTCTAAAGTTACACAGTGTTGTTTAACAGTAAATAAGGAAATGTGCAGTTTACTGGATCAGGCATGATTCTTTGGAAAATAGTCGGCCCCCTCTGTGTAAAATGTGGCCCACCTATGGCCCCTGATTTAGAAAAATCCAAGATCTGCCACTGGTTACTGAAGCAAAAAGAAGAGAGTGAAATAGAATAACTGTAAAAGTAATACAAGAAAAGTACAGTATAAACACAAGGAACTACAAAGACTAGAAAGTAATATGTAAAGTGTAGACAGAGTGTAACAGTATTGCACATACATGAAATTGAAATTGCAGATGGACATTTTTTATTGCAGTTATTTGTTTGACATTGTGAATTCTGCATGGCCCATGTCAGTGTTACTTACATGCACAGATGGGCCTTGTCAACAGCATTTAAGTGAAACCATTGAAAAGAGGACACCAAGGTTCAGCTTCCTCTCTGCCCTTGCTCCATGTGTTTGCATTGGCCCTCAGTACAGAGAAGGAAAAAAAAGATGAGATGAGATGGAATCGATGTTGTCACTGTCTGCCCAGGGGGCGACTTTGGGTCATTATATAAGAGCACTGGACCCACGTTGCAACAGTCTCACAAAGTCATCCATGTGACGTGCTGGCTGAGCTCACTGCCTCACTTCACATGAAATCCATCTGTGTGTATAATCCTCGGCCTCCCTTAAATTATTCTGACTCTTAATGCATTTATGAGACTTATCAATCAATTCTGGACCACAGTACCTTGTGGACAACAAGGCATTGTTCCCATCACCCACAGTCCCTCCATTCACTCCACCCTCTGCAAGATGAAACTAATGGGCACAGGCCATCATTAGTGCTCACTGGCCTGGATGAGCTGGGATTTGTTATCAGTGTTGTGACTCAAGTCTCCCCAGTGTTCACAGAGCTGTATAATTCAATATGTGTCTTTTTAACACCTGCTGCTTTCTGGTTCAACTTTGTATTCAACACGCAGGAGCTGATGACCTCAATAAGAAAGAGTGGGCCAGCTTATTATTACTGTCAGTCTGTCTGTCTGTGTGTGCGTGTGTGTGTGTGGTAAAGATGGAAAGTTGTGTCACTGACTGTGCTGTTTGTGGCTGTAAGCCAAATTAGATCAGTAACAAACAGTAGAGTACAGTACAGATGCATGGGAAGGACCCAGGGTCAGATATTACAATTAAGTAATCAGATAAGGCAAATCCAAATAAGAAGCAGGCAGAGATGCCAAGTCCAGAAAAATTCTGTTTTATCCCAGGTAGCTGACAAAACACGGAGGAAAGTTACTGAAATATGCCACTTAAATATCCCATCCAAACATAATTTAAGACCTAAAAATACCCTGCTTTAAATAATAACTTTCTTTACGAGCTTATCTACTTAATAGTTTTTAAAAAATCTATCAATGATGTCTACTTCTTCAATGAAAAGTGTCACAAATCATTATGTACTTATTCATCTTAAACAGGGACTTAAAGTGAGCATTTCATTTCAGATAAATGTCTTTCTAATGTCTTTCTAGAGGAAAACACATTTGGGAGTGGGTACAGACTTTAAACACAAACATTTTAACTGCTCTAATTGTGTGCGACACCTCTATGCTCCTCCAGTCCACCTAGGCCAGCCAGTATGTGTCGATGTGCCCTCGGCGACAGAAGCCGTCCTTGGGAAATCCATGATGTTGACCTGCATCTTCTGTATGAAGAGGGAGGAGATCAAAGCAAAGACACGTGTGGATTGGTACTACATGCCAACAAATGAAAAAGACATCCCAAAAACTCATGTAAGTTGCTTTGACATTATTGCACAGGGTATAACATGTATGTGTGAGTCTTCATACTAGTGAGTCATTAACTGTTTGTATATTTCCTCCATACCTGCTTGTTTTTCCTCTGTCCTAGATATATAAGTATGAGAAAGATGTGCCATCACAACTGGACGGACCATTTAAGGGCCGTCTTACCTGGAACGGGAGCTACGACTTGCAAGAGGTCTCCATTGAAATCCATAATGTCACTTACAATGACAGTGGTATCTATGAGTGCCATGTGGTTCGTGATTTCGACTACTTCACTCACTCCGTGTATGTCGTGAAGAACATCACGCTGAAGGTGAAAGAGAAAGGTGTGGCTCTTTTTTTTCTTTTATTCTGTGCTAAGGTTTAATCAAATGCTTGGTTTCCATATTAGCACAGCTCAGTGTTCAGTGACTGTGATGACACCAATCACTTAAGCAGGGATATTACAGAGATGCACACACATGGTCATACAGACCTAGAAGTGCTAAGTGCTTCACAGGCTGTGGCAGGCCACCGGTGAGGTTACCAGAAATAGACAGTCATCCAGAGATCACACCACAGCTCAAATCTGACACTTGAAGTGTTATGAAGATGCTTTTGCAATAACATAGTCTACTGCAAAACAAAGTAGTTTTATTTCAACTTTTTAAAGATGTAAAAGTTTTCATTGCCCCAAAGGAAATGTATAATTCATATCCAGCCTTAATATAAACACAAGCTCTTATAAAGCCAGTAGAGTCTGTATTTACACAGTCTGTGCAAAATCTTTTTCCTGCTTTACAACGTCAACAGAACTGATGTATTTAGTTTTATTTAATCTCTATCTAAACAGGGGGTCTCGTTTAGATTTTTAGCTCTTTTTCAAAAGAGACCTGAGAACAGGAGAATCAGCACAACAAATAATTCATTAAAACAAATACAAGAATCATGAAGAACAGCTTGTTTTGCTGATGCAGGACATAATAACTGATACTTTCATTGCAGTTTTGCACGTATTAACACAGAGTGGAGCAGCTATTATGTTGAAGATGATGATCCGGCTGCACAAACTTTAATCTGTAGAGACAGATGTGTTCCTTTAAAATCTCTAATGATGGAAACACTACTCTGTGCACTGTGTTGACTTCTGTGTACCTGGTGTTCTCCTTGTGCCGCCCTTCCTGTGATGTTGTCTAAAGCGTTCCTCAGAATGCCTTTTGTCTTTTTGTATTTTATCCTTTATTTCTAGCTCACTACTTTCACACAGATGCAATCACACAGATGCATCACGCCACACAGCCACTCACAACACCGCTCTCCTTCTCCCCTCTGTGATGACGCGGAAATAATTGTGTCTTGTTTTGTCTGCCTTATTGTCCATCAGCGCTTTCTTCTGTTATCAGTGAAGGGATTAATTCAAACCAGCTACTTTGCTATCTATTAAGAGGGGTAATGTATTCTGCTTCCTGAATGCTTGGCTTGCTGAATGTGTGATATTCCATCTTGATCGAATATACAATACAACATGTATATTTGGATGAACTTAACTCTTCCCATTTCTTTATGTAACATCTATATCTGCTTGCAAGAGGTAGTTCATTATCAAAGTCCTATACAAAACAGGGTTTGTTTCAGATTTAGAGGAAAAAACATGCTAGTTTGGATCCTCCAAAGTCTGCAAAATTTAGTGTGTTTAATTCCTTTAAGACATACTCTAAATAAAAGCCTATACTACATCTCATACAACAGTGGCATCAAATTTCACAGAGCCTGTGCAGCCAGTGTATTGTACATTATAGCCTGGGTATCATGTTACGGTAATTTTGCCCATAGAATTGAAATGGATTTGTTCACGACAAACATATCTTTGCTTTTCCCACCTAAGGGATTATCTTACACTAATAGGCTCTATTTGCAGAGGCTGCAGAATCAAATCAGTGAAAGCCGTGAGCAGGCTCTGTGATATTTGGTCCACACTCATCGGTAGTGTGGTTCACAGTGGCTCATAATGACATTAAAATGAAAAATATTATTGCACAGAAGCAAACCAGAACCAAATGTGGTTGTAAACAATAGTCACATGCTCATATGTTCATGTTAAAACTGATTTGCAATGCTGTAATAAATTGTCTTGTTCATACTGGGCATTAAGAGAAATCCACAGTCCTCTTTCTGCGTAACATTTCATTTATTCTTTCTCATGAAACATTGTCTAAAGAGGATGTTTTATAAGGTTGTGACTTTAATGAGCTCCTGACTGCTGGAGCTTCATATTAACTTAACTGTGGAATATTTGCACAGAACAAGGACTGTAATTTGCTCCCTCAACTGCTTGGAAGCTTGTTGAAAAGTATGAGCAGGAGGACGGTTTACAGCAAGCAGAACAGCCTCAGCAGGCTTATGAGTATTAATTTAAGACGAACTTAATAAAACTTGAAACTTCAATTAAAATCCAATAATATAACTTAATGAATTAGTTAGAATGTTATTAGCCTTGTCCTTGTATACATACCTAATGAGCTAAAACATGAGGTAATAATTTACATAAACTTAACATCTTTGCCCTGAGAACCACTGTACCTCGCATTTTCCTCTTCTTTTATATTTAAAGGTACTTTGTGGAGTTCTAGTCGTAGTCTTGCTATCGAGCATTGGTTTTACAAGTGGCAACTGGATGGACATGTACAAGTAGTTTCTCTGCTGATTGACTCACAACACAACATTATGAAATATGTACCCATGCAGCAGTAAAGACGACTCATAAGTAAAGATGGAAGTAAACTAAATATCTGAAACAACTGTCTCCGCCATTTTAGTGAATGCTGGTAAGAAACACTGAACTAAAACATAACTTTAGTTTATGTTCACAAAAAACTCCACAGGGCACTTTTAACTCAGTGAAGGCTCTACTGTTGTTGCAACACAGGTATGGCCATAATGTTCTGTATGCAACAAAGTTTGTGCATCATTTTTTAAATATACCCAACAACAGGAAGTTCACCTGGAAACATGACTTTGCTTGAACTTCAGCTGCATCATAAAAACTTCATAATGAGTTGGACTTTCCATTCAGCAAAATGATGTAGAAATGTTGCCTTATTGTCTGTTATGAATGAGTTTATTGTGGGTCAGCAGTGTTGCACATAAATGAACATGATTAGCATGACCTCCTTAAACCCATGAATAAATAATTATCCCCTGCTCCATTAAACAACAACAAAAACCATTCAGAGGAAAGATGCATATTGAATAATACATGTTATTGCTGTTTGCTCTCCACAGCCAGTAACGAGGCCGCGGCGCTCTACTCTGAGATCATGATGTATGTGCTGCTGGTGTTCCTGACCCTGTGGCTGCTGGTAGAAATGGTCTACTGCTACAGGAAGATCTCCAACTCTGATGAGCAGGCGCAGGACACAGCGTGAGTCTCGAACAGCGACGTGCAAACAAACTCAATCACAGAGAAGTTTGAGTTGCCGAAATAAAAACAGTGTCCCAAAAGCAGACCCTTTGTTGGCACCTTAAAATACATGCAAGTTTTTCTTTCCTCAAAATGCATTTGTGATTATTAATTAAGTCATTTAAATCTCAGAAATATGTGGGCAAGACAGATTTAGGAGGCGACCGAGAAGAGAGCAGGACAGAGAGTAGGAGGAAAGAGTCAGGCAGGTAAATGAACAGGAAGACATACAGAGAGGTAATTGAGTCTACACCATATCGGTTTGTAACCCCCCTGCAACAGTAATCTGTCTTTTTACTTACACCTTCTGACAGGCCTGAATAATTCTCAGCACTGCTGACTGCTCCTTTTTCCAAACAAACCATTTTCCATCAGTAGATTTGCAGCTCCCTCAGAAACAGTCTTTTTGCGTCACCTTCTCAGAGCTGACAAAGACCAGAGGGCATCTGTAGAGTCAGCTCCCACCGGATTGTCATGGTGTTGACCAGGCCTATCCAGGTGGACAACTTCTGATCAGGCAATTGGTGTCCCCTAACAGAACAATCACTGATAACACACTGCAACATGTGCTGATGGAGTTATTGTATCTTTGCAGACTATTAATCCTGATTCTAAGTCAGACTCTTGCAGTGACACATGAAGCCCCGACCATGGGATTTCTAATACTGTGTATGTGTTCAGAATAGTAATTATACAGTGGGCAGAATGCTAAGCAACAAAGCACAACAACCTTAAGATACTCTGCAATAGTAAGGGGTTTCTGTTTACTGTGTTTTTTACCAGGGAAACCAACGTTTCCCACTAATTCTAGAAAATGTGTTCATTCGAAACTGTAATGACCATATATGTTGAATCATGCCCCGTGACTCTGGGTCATAGCAACCAATTGGAATGATTGAAGTGGGAAGTATATTGTACCAATTAAATACTCCATTGTTAAGTTCTTTACAGGAAACTGAAATTGTGTGAAAATGTGTAGAATCAAACATCACAGAACAAAATAACACAAATCAATGTACAATATAAATTTAAACCGGTAAAACTATGAGCCAAAATATGTCCTCAGAAACCGTGGAATTTTTCAATCAAAAAAATAAAAACTCAAATATGCAGATTTGCTGCTTTTCTTAGTTACTTATGGTCATTAATTGGATATAACTTTCAAATGACTTTACAGAATATGCTACTATGTTAGTAGTAGTAATAATAATGCTGCCTTAAATAACACCTGAATCAACTATAACTGAAGAATGCGAGATTTACAATGATAAGTGTTAATTGAACACCTATTCTTCTAGATTATATTTAGCTTTGTAACAACCTCAGACACGAATGCTGGTGGACTCAAATGCACGACTCTGCAGTGAATATAACAAAGGTTTATTTTTAGTCAAAGTGCACAAACAGAAAGCGCTCTCTTGGAGGATCAAAAAGTAACAAAACAAAACACTTGCAAAACTGCGAATCAAACAAAAGATCATAAACTTGAAAAGGCAAACGAAACTCTCATAAACTCTCATGGAACAAACAAGACGAACTGGCACAGGACAAAGGGAGACGAGGACTATTTATACATGAGGAAGGGGAAAACAGGTGAAACCAATCAGGGGCGGGGAAGACGATCACCAAGGCGGGAAAATCACACAAAGGGAGGAAGTCAGGGTCTGAAACTAGAGGGAAATTTGAGTACAAAATAAAACAGGAAGTGCACGACGAGACTAGACATGAGTGAAGTTTAACTTGCTGAAAACACACATGAATAAACATGGATTAAACACAGGCATGACAGAACTTTAAACATGGACATGAATAAACATGGATTAAACACAGGCATGACAGAACTTTAAACATGAACATGAATAAACTTAACATAATTGACGAGACATAGCAAGCTGTATATTACATGTATTATCTGCATAATTGTAAAAATATGTTTGATAACTTCACTTTTATGGATAATAATGTACAATAACATTAAATAATGAAAAACATAGGATTGCACAATGTAGAATATTTATTCATGCATTTTGTTGAATGTCAAAGCTGAAGTGGGTCAAAAATGATCATGGAATGAAATGTACAGTTGGGTGTAACGTTTAATGGCACACTCAGGCCATTAGGCTGCTGTCGACTAATGTTCTTTTAAGATGGAGATTACATTCCACTTCACCCTCAGCATTTGGGTAAAGTTTATTGATCCATGTGCAGATAATGGCGGCACATTAAGTCAAGAACCAATGATCGAATGTGTATCAGTCTGTAAACTTTATTTCATGCAGTTAAAAGAGTTGATGCGTTGTGGCCACCTCACAGCCATTATTGAGCTGTAGGACAACAATGCATCCGTCAGGGAGGAGCTACACCCACTCAAAGAGGCTGCCCTGTGGTCAACTTCTTAGCTACCGGGGCTTAATGGATTTATACCACATCAAGAACTTTTTCAGGTTACAATTTGTGATGCATTTGTGGCCCAGCTCGTATTTTTCGTTACTGCAGGAAAAGATGGAATGTAGAAGCAAAAGTGATCATTTGTCAGAGCGACAAAATGAGGCTGGATTTTAAATTTGCTGACAGTCACAAAAGACTGTTCACTCTGTTACTGTTTCTATGCAGCTCCAATGAATGAACTATATATTTAGCAAAGGCACTGTGGTTTTTGAACAACATGACATATTACTGTTATATTCAGTAGATCTCCACATGTCACATTACAGTGATGGTCTTATCAATAGACTGTATATAAAGATGGATGATATGTCTCAGCTTCCTCAAATTGTACAAAAACAAAGCCAAAATATCCTAAAACATGGGAGATGAACTTCATTCATTGTGCTTTTGACGTCATTTAGAGCCAAAGGCAGTGCAGTAGTGATCGTGGAGTGACCACACACACGCTTGGCCAATCACGAGTCAGTCTCAGCTGTCAATCATGAAGTTTCACCTCGTTCTTTTAGAACATCAGATAACCAATTGAAACCAAACTGTGATAATACCTACCTACAATGACAGAAACCATATTTGAGAAAACTGTTTTTTAGCTTGGTCCATGTCACATGCATTAACAAGGAGGAGGAAATGTTCATGACCTATAATGCAGCCAGCCACCTGGGGCTGCTCAAGATGATTTGGCTACACTCTTTTGAAGCAGACGTGTCGTACATAGTATTTACAGTCCATGGTTTTAGCCTTAAAATAAACATTCATGTATTTGAGTGGATATTAAAGCTTCACCGCCCAAAAAACTAGAAATTCAGTCACGCTCCACTGGAGTGAATGTTGTTCAAACTTCGACCAGCTCTAATCTGTGGTGCGAGGTAACAAGAGTGATTCCTACAACCAGTTCTTAGACTCTCCTCTGTTTTTCTACTGATCTGCCTGCAGGACCAACTACCTAGCCGTTCCCTCTGAGCAGAAAGACAATGCGGCTGCTCCTGTTACCGAATAAAAGTTGGTTATCAGTGACACGGTATTTTACATGTAACTCTTTTCACAACCAAATCCCAGCCAGTGAAACCATCCCGCTCTCTTTCAACTCATCGTTTGTACCTTTTATCATAATTGTCAAAGTGTTGGAGTCCTGTCGCTTCAGCACCTTTTCTGTCTCGTATTGTGCGTTCTCTTCAATAGCGACTGTCACTCCTGTCGTTTTCTGTCCTCCATTTGCACTCATGTATGCAACCTCCCCATTATCAATGATTAGCCATGAGAAAGAATTTATGTCTTGTGTGAAAAGTGGTATAGTTTGAAGTATTTCAGGTAAACTGTTAATATGAGCATGACATAAGTAATATATAGAAAATCAACTGATAAACAGTCTCCTCTTGCTCTGCTCTGCATAGTGAAAGTGAATCTAAATCTAACATGTATGCCATTTGCATGTTTACGAAATAGGAATCCTGAGCTATCATAATCCTTAGATGGTGTGGAATTTGTATATTGTTTAATATAACACACATACAACACTGGTTATTAAGCATTTAAATCATTCCGTGTAGAACATGTTCTCTTCTCTTTTCAGGTACTGACCAATCACTCTCGTCTCCATCGTCAAGAGACAGAAACAAGAATAGACTTCACGACCCAGTCCCTGCCTCTATGAAGGTGTCATTACTCGCAGACGGCCGAGGGAATCCCGCAAACCCTACCTCCCCTTTGTATCGGCTGTGTCTTGTGGAGAGCCAGTCAAAAATGTTTTGAGTGGTCTGATTTTCACCTCCTTTTCCTCCCATCTTTTATTTTTCTTTTTTTCCTTCATGCAGACATCTGAAAGCATAAATGCAGCAGGTCACAGAACAAACTGTCAGTGTCCTGCACATCAAATCAGAAAAATACCAACCATGCTTTATTCAGACCGGCCAGTGCATAGAGTTACTACACAATGTCTTAGTAGTGAGTGTTGCCTATGTGATATACAACCTATTGTAATATATATATATATACTATCTGAGGAAAGAATCTGCCGTTTTACTGACTGTGCTGTTTGCCTGGTTCATTTTGTTTTATTACAATTTTCTAGACCATGCTGAGATTTATGAGCCACAGTTGTATTTGTACCGGCCGATATCTTTTTTCAATGTCTTTTTAAGGAAAATGGTTTGCATAGATTTTATATTGACTGGATCTGCATTTCTTCCTCTTATAGTGTTTGTGTTTTGGAAACATTCATAACTTGCAAAACCATATCAAGTCACCAGTTCAGCTAATCTGAGTTCAGCTAGAGGTCCCTTCTATACTCTCCTCCGTGCAAATCTTTAATCCATGTAACATCAAAGTACATTCAGTGAGTTGAGCCTTACTGCACACAGTTACTCTAAACTCCTCTGGGCTTTGACTGTTGCTGATGAAGTAACATTGCTATTGAGAACCAGTGTGTGCCTATTTCGATAGTGCGAAACTGTAGAAATGTATATATGTAGTGATTCAATCATTTAGTGCTGTTCATTGTCTGTTACAGATAAAACATTTCCTGTGTGAGTGAGCTGCTTTTGAACTATTAAATACAATGCATTCCATTATCCAGGCTGAAGCTCCTTTTTTCCACCTGAAAACGTCTTGTTACAGTGTTATTGCAGGGATCCTATAGAATTTGCACAATGAGTCCACGTTGAGACCATTACCGGAAAGGTAATTTTTTTTTCAAAGGAAAATGCAATATTGACTTCTCATTTTCTCTCTGCATGGCGGTGTCGAAAGGAAAGATGTGGACTCTAAACAAACCACAATGAGCAGCTGTCATGTTTTCCAGCTCTCATTAACAGTGCTGGGTAGGAGCCGAAAGGAGGAACCTTTTTTTTCTCTTGATGTAGACTTGTATCGTGTGTTTTGATTGCTAGTCTTCATGGAGCTGAGATGCAGGACAGTGCAGTGAGTTGAATTCACTGAGATCACAGCTGGTCCGGATGAGCGAGGTCAGAAAAGGTTGTGTAGGTAAAATGTGGGAGTGAAGAGGAAGGATGGGGGAAAAGACTGGCAGTTATAGGGGGACGTGATGTATGTTGCTCTTTTAGTTTGCCGTGACCCACAGCAGTGACAGATATAGCAGCAGCTGTTGTTATGGCAACATAGGCATGCCTGTAGCCAGGCAGACCGCATAGTTGAGGACATTACTGTGCAATAGTTGACACACGCTTATGCACAGCCATTAGAAATGTAGGGTTTTCATTACTTAATATGCACATAAATAAAATTAATAAATAAGGAAGCTGTCACCCAGCATGCTTTGCTCCAAGAGAAAGATAGACTATCCCAGAACAGAACAGATGCCACCACAAGCCGACCAAGGTCAGGTATATTGTCTAAATGGCAAATAGGTAACGTTAAACGCAAACCCTTTATCCATCCATCAAGTTCACCTAAATTGGTTATTGATTGTGCAACACATCCCATAAACTCTGCAACAATACGGCATTATGGCTTTGAGATGCATTGTGAAAGTGCAATTCCAATCCCTCACTCCTCCTGCTACCTGCCTCCCAGTGTCTCTCCCTCTTCCACCTTCATTCTTACACAGTTCCTCCCTGAGGAGGCAACCCAGTAATATGGCCCACATTTAACTAAAATACATTTCAATTAAACTGCCATGCCCCGACTGTGGCAATGCCAGCAACACGGACGAGGTGTGACTACGAACACTGTTGTCTTTGCACCGAAATGGGAATTGCTAATCAAATCAAGTATCACCGGTGACAAAGGGATTCAAGCAGCTCAATGTACAAAGCGCTCTGTACATGCAGCATTGATGTCCTTCTCCCACCTAATGGTCTGTTCATGTGGTGTTGCCTGAAGATGTTGCCTAAGACTGACCACAAGTGTTGCAGCAATTTGGTGTCATAAAATAAAACCATAAATCATTAATCTGGACAACACAAAACGTGTCTGTCAATAAAGGGACTTTGTCTCCCCCTAGTGTAAATCTTATTATGTCATCAAACGTTGACATGTAATTACAGAGGAGTTATGAACATCAGGCTGTTTGTTCTCTCTTCTTTAAAATAAACTTACACCTAGAATAAGCCTGCTGTAGTTTGATTGGTAATTTCTGATGACTAAGATGTTTGATAACAAACAGATATTAATAATCGTGATTTATTGATCCCATCTCTTTTTGGATGTGTCCTGTTCAGAAACGCTCAGCTGTGCTGCGAGCATCGATGCAGCCTGCTCTGTGCTGGCAGACGTTGCAGTCAACCGGAAACACAGTTTATTGATTACAGATCCATAGTCACTTTGCTGCAGCCGATTTCTATCTGTTTTAGCATTAATGTGTTATGATAGAAGGGAACATATTGATACATTTCAAAGTGAGTGATTTGTATGCTTTGGTTTTGCCTCTCTGACTAGAATACCTGTTACCCATGAAATTTGTTTTTCTGTGTTGGTACAGTCCCTAAAGTCACACCAGACCAAGCCAGAGCTAAGACCATGTTTCCTCTAAAATTCTCATCCCTGCCATATTCCATTTCTTTTAGCTGTTAAAGATGACTGCACTCAGAAATTGAATAATTTCTTCCAGAGAAGCCCTTCTGAGATAACAATGGGCAGCCCACAAATCTTCACACATTTCAAGCGGTGTACTTCTGGCCAGGGAACAGGTGTTGACTGTGCAGTGCATTTTATTTATATATATTCAATTTCTGGATTCAGCAAGTTTCATCTTCATTATAGAGATCCAGCCAAGAAGAAATGAAAGATTTGTTTTTGGACTGCAAACAATATCTCTTTTAGCAGATATAAATAAAACTGGAATCCAGATTCTCGGACCTAAGATAAAGTTAAAGCCAGAAGAAGTTCTCCTGATAAGGCTGTGTCAATAAAAAATCATCAATAGTAAGAATTACCATTTGAAATAAAAGGCCGGGACAGAGAAAACAATGTCTCTTATTTAAAAAGTTTTGAAATGTAACAACAAGGAGGTACTGTATCTGTGAGTTTTCTACTTCCTCCCACAGTCCATTCAGATTGGAGACTTTAAATTGCCTGTAGATGTGAGTGGGAATGGTTGTCTATATGTCAGCCCTGTGATTTGCTGTCAACCTGTCCTGGATGTACCCTGCTTTACACCCAATGTCATCTGGGATTGGCTCCTGTTTCTCCCTGATGCTTAAAGGATAAGCTGTATCGATAACGGATGAATGGATGGAGAAATATAACAGATCATTACACCTTATCCTATTGTTTTAGCACAGATGTATCTGCAGATACATCAAATTAAACATCAGTGATTGCTATTCACAGTCGAGGATTTTTATCATCCAAAGAAGCTGCATGCTTATGTGGGCCTTATATTATTATCTAAACAGAGGAACATTAGTGTCTCTCTCTATATCTCTGTATCAATCATTTGATAAGAGAGAGTTTTAGTGCCCAGGTTTTATATATACTGGGTCGCAGGGGGAGTAGCAGCCAATTCCAGCTGACATAGGGGGGGAGGAATGGCTTCACCCTGGACAGGTCGCCACAACCACTCACAGTCACATTTACAACCAGTCAATTCAGAGTCTCCAATTAACCTAACTTTACCCAGAGAAAACTAACACAAACATGGGGAGAACATACAAACTCCACACACAATGATCCCTGTCGAACTGGGATTTTAACCAGCAACCACCTTGCTGCCCAGAATTTGTGTTTTTTCCAACAATATTAAAAGTATGCCTTCAATTTAGACTCCAAATTAACTTTATTATCTTGTTATCTGATAGTAGTAACGGTTATAGTAATTACAATGAGGTCATGCAGACATTTTTGTACTTGATGTATGATTGTTCACAGTATATAAATTCAAAGTCATTACTTTTCACGGAAGATAAAACTGCTTGCACAACACAACACAACGTGTTTAAAGTGTCTTTGTCAACTGTCAAATTGCATCTGAACAACTCTGGAGCACCTCCAGAGCACCTCTCCACCTAAGTTTGGTGTAATGTGACTTCGGACAGGGTGAAAAGTCCCTGTGAATTATTCCTTAGTGTGTGTATAATTATATCAAGCTCTACTTTTATGGAGTTGTCGTCCCCCATGTGGTGTCTTTTGCATAAAAGCAGAGCAAAGAGGTAGTGCTGTGCCTTACACACAGAGAGCTGCTCCTGACTACTGAATGAGCAGCTTATCTTCTCTGGAATATTCATTTACTGTCCTGTAATCCATCAAAGATCCTTTTTTATAACAGAAGTGGGCAGCTGGGTGTTTCTGCCGTCTCTCCGCCTGTCTCCAGCAGTGGATTATATCCTTAGTCTTCTCATCATTCCTCAGAGATGTGTGATATTTGTCGAGCAATATTCCTTAAACCTGCCATTCCTTCTCTAATCTGGTATTTCTCCTATGTTTCATAATTACAAAACTGGTGTTTGTCTATTTGATTCAATCCAGTGCAGACACAACAGCATTAGCCCTGTAAGGTGCCGTCCATAAACCATATGAAAGACTGTTGCCACACTGTCAGCTTCAATATTTCATACAAATGGATTAGAGGCTGCCAAACATCTGCTCACCAACGTCGCATGTTAGAGAACACAGGTATCAGCAGCTTTAGACTTATATTGTTTCTGATATTGAACGTCTCCTTTATCTGCTACAATTTTTTCAAACCTCTCATTGAACCTGAGCCTCGGGTTTGTTAGTCATCACACGATAAGCTTCGTCACTGAGGACTGATACTGAAAGGAGGAGATAGCATATCCACAACACCATCTGTTTAAAACACCTAATCAGAATTGAATCCATGAATTAAACAGGAACCCCTTCCACTGTATACCTTAACCTTTCCTCCCCACCGGCCGCCTCTCCACATCCATCATCCCATCCTTCATTTCATTCAGCCGCATTTCAAACAAGAGGCATCTTTGATTAGCGAGACAAAGAGGACGGCCTTAAATAAAAACACCATTTACAAGTCAGACTCGGCGAGCGAGGCAGCGACTGGGCCGTGTTTTTCTAATTTGCGATGAGAGGATGGAGCTGGCCCGTGTCACAGTGACGTCGCCGCTCTATTGTTAGTAAAATGAACACCTGGCTGCCAGAGAAGTGCTAAATCACTGCTCTGTGTTTTGCCACACCTGAGGCTCCCCCACGCAAAGTGACACAAAGCAGAACATTACATTCCAGCTTGGATGAATTCAACTGTAACTGTGCCTGAGACGCAGGATTTTTCATACGATCAATCAACAACTGTTCAGTCGATTGGGTGGAAATTTATTGCATGTCGCTATAGGTCTAATAACTGCAATATTTTTTTTTCCTGGGAGGAGAGGCCCTGAAAATGAATCACAGTCTAACCTGATTATACAGAGGTGAAGCCGGGGGAAATCGGCCCTGTGGATTTCTGCAGATTATGATATGTAGTGAGAAGTTGATAAGGGAAAAAGGCAAGGTTTTAAAACATCTCTAGACTCTGATGAATCCTGCTGCTTTATTACTTTTGTGCTTCACCCAAGGCAGGAGTTGTCTGATACCCTTCTTGACACTACTAGTTATAGAGCCCCACCATGTCTGATAAATCT